TCCTGTGTCTGTTTGCCTCTTTAAGAAGAATCGCTAAATGTATCCCCCAATTGTAAGTCGCTTTGGATAAAAGCATCTGCAAAATGATTAAATGTAAATGCAAAGGATTTTTGGAAAGAAATATCAAACTCAGCTTACAACAAACTGTTTAGTTTTGAGGTAATTAATGCACTATTTTTAATTTGGGAATCAGGATCAAAGGAGCTGGATGATATCTTAAAACTGTGAACTCTTTGTGGCCTATTTCATCTTCACAAATGTATAGTTACTGATTGTATGCCCAATTTTAGGATTTTTTGTATTGATTTGAAATTATTTTCTTAATCTCTCTGCTCATCACTTAATAAGAAAGCTGCTAAAACTACTGTATTGATGGAAAAAAATATTGACTGTGATGTAAGGGTTACCTCCTGTGTATTCTTTGAAGTTTACATTTTATGTGTAATATTCCATTTAAGTTATTTTTTATTTTATTTTAATTTATTTATGATTTATTTATTTAAAAAAATATGTTTAAGTTTGTATTTGTTTGTTTTTGTTCTGTTTATATTTCATTTTTATTATTCTTTATGTATTTATTGTTTTGTATTCTGGGTGTGTGTATTTTATTGCTATGACTGTATCCCCTGTGAATGTTATATCTTCAAAAAAAAGAACGAATGACTCGGAAAAACCTGAAGACTCGAACCAGGTGAACTACTTGACTAATTCCAGTACAGAACCTATAGGATGTTGCGCATGCGCGACTGAACGAATCACTCCCCGAGACGACTCGTTCCTCCCGAGTCACATTAAAGATTCGTTCAAAATGAACGAATCGTTCTAGAACGACCCATCACTACCTGAAACTGAAACCAGTTTTTTCACTGGTCGCTGAACTGGCAAGGCTTGTGTTAATGTTTTGGGGTGCATGCTCTAGAAATCACATTTTGCGTGCAACAATAGCAGAAATCGCAATTCACGTTCGGTATTATTGAGCAGCAGCCCATTTAAAGTTAAGATCAGGAAAACCGGTGTTGAGGCGTTGCTGAATCGTTAACTACGCTTCTAAGATTATTATGTGCGATTGCATCAGGTTATGTCTCAGAAAACATCATATCAGAGAACTGTCAGTCACTAATAGCATGCTGGCTTGAGTTCGTGTACTTTGGCAGTGTTATATTGACATCGCTGTTTTTATGGCCTGCCCTTGAGGATGTCCCCGTTTTTACTACAACAACCTGTGCAATGCGTAAAATATGTATCTAATGTGGCAACTTGGCCGAATATGAGAACCCATACTTGATGAATTTCCCCCTGGGTTAAAATTCTGGGGTTAAAATGCCTTAAATTGGAGAAAACAAACGAGTAAATAAAACATGACAGAAATAAATAATGATAGACATTAGCCTGCTGAATTCACGGCCCTTACGAAAATTAATCATGTTTTTTATTGTAGTAAAAGTGTAGTAACCATGTTTTTTTTAATGGATTACTATTTGTATAACTACAGTTTTACTACAAATACCATGGTTAAACTATGGTTAGTGTAGAAAAACCATGGTTAATTTGTGGTTGCCATGGTTTAACTATAACTTTTTTGGTTTTATTTGTGGTAAACCATGGTTAATAGGCAAATGCTACACATTGTTTTGTCACATAGAAATGCTCTCGACAATAAGGCTAGAATGCAGAAAATGCACTGCTTTTAAAGGGGTTATATGATGCTGCTAAAAAGAACATTATTTGGTGTATTTGGTGTAATGAAATGTGTTTATGCGGTTTAAAGTTCAAAAAACACATTATTTTCCACATACTGTACATTATTGTTTCTCCTCTATGCCCCGTCTTGCTGAAACGTGTAGATTTTTACAAAGCTCATCGGTCTGAAAAGCGAGGTGTGCTGTGATTGGCCAGCTATCCAGTGCGTTGTGATTGGCTGAATCCCTCAAGCGTGTGACGGAAATGTTACGCCCCTCACCATACTGTGATGCCGTGTCCGGCCGGAGCGACGAGACAAAAACATTAAAACCCATTATAATCGAGGCATTTGTTGCATCCAGTGGGGACATAATTACGGATTATAATGACTTATACTGTCTTTTTACGCATTGCATTGCATCGCGCCGCGTAAACATAAAACCATGTCTGCATTTGTGATCGGAGAAACGGCAAACAAGTGCTACTCTACACTGCTCAAAACTCACGTTTGAATCATCAGTGGCAAATCCTTTAAATGAAAACGTACTTACGTGAGTCAGAACAGTCGGCATTGTAATCTAACGTTACTCTTCCAGGATCAGGAAACAGTCCTCCATAAAATGTGCTGCACACATCTGAATATTTGGGTTGAAGTGTTCTGGAACAGTGTTGTAAATACAACTTAACCACTGATTTCTAGTCGTGTCCTCTTTTGGAAGATCAAACAAAGTAGTTTCGCTTTCCCAATGAAAAACACTGCGGCCTAGCGTGAGGGGAAGCCCCCGGCTGATGCGACGAATGAGCAGCAACCATATGTGACGGACCCCGGGCTGGACTCCACTTCGTCCACAGTGAAAGTTGATGTATTCCCTCAGCGACCAGCACGGATCAGCTCCAGGCATGACGAAGCAGATATCGTCCTCTTTTGGAAGACCAAACAAAGTAGTTTCGCTTTCACAACGAAGCACACAGCGCCTTCACGACATGGCAGCAGCAACAATACTACAGCGAGAATAAAAGTTACGCCTTCTTTCTTTGCGTGCACATTTGGGCGGCGTTATGCAAATCTTCCCACATAGTGAGGTAGATATGTGGGGGCGTGTTAGAACGAGCCGTTTTAGGTGGGCGTGGCTGACTCTTAACTTTTATAAAGAATATCTCTTTGGATTTGAGACTTTAGTCTTTGCAACTTTACAGATCTTCTTTATGCAGCAAGAGCCTGTAACACTCCAAAGAGAAAGGAAAACTTGAAATCGCATCATATGACCCCTTTAATATTAAATATTAAATTCAGTCATCATCTCCTCACCCTCAAATCTGGAATTTCTTTCTTCCGTGGAACACAAGAGAGGATATTTTGTAGCATGTTACCAAACCACTTATTTGTATGGACTAAAATCTCTTGAATTTCTCAAACTATCTTCTTTCGTGTTCCACAGAAGAAAGAAACGCGTACAGGTTTGGAATGACATGATACACAAGGACACTTTTCATTTTTGGGTGAACTATCCCTTTAAGAACTTTAACATTTGTAAATAGTTAACACCTAATTTAAATATTTATCTTTAACGAGGCTCTTATTGAATGAACATTTTACTTCATTTAAAATGAATTAGAACTAAACATTTAAAGAGAAAGACGCTGTAAAGTATTCGTTGCCCTAATGACGTTTACTATAGTTCTGACAGAATCCAGAGTTTAAGGAACTAATATTGCTGCTGTTAATGCTCCCGATGGCCAGTTGTGCTTTTAACTGGTCCAGTTAGGCACTCATATGTTGTATTGTGACCTATTAATGTTGCAATGATTTTAATTATTTGAATATTTGTACAACTCCCACATTACTTTATAGAAGCTCAGTGGGTGAGGCAGAGGGTCCAATCGATGGATGCAGAACTATTTTTTAAGAAAGCTGACCAGCCTTGGAGGCCGCGTGTTTTCTCTGCTCCTCCAAACGCTGCTGCGAGTGTGAAATACGGCAGACGGCTGAGGAGACTCACAGATGAGTTTGACATTCTGCTCGAAAAAGGGGTAAGACGAACTGAGAGCAGGGAATTGCTTTTATACTTTTATTCAACAAATTCAGTCACTTGTGGACTGTCATGAGAATTCATGTCCTTGTGTCCAAACATCTGCCTTCAGATGAAGAGGCTGTGTAACGGCAGGCCGGCACCACAGATTTGGCGCTTCCCCATGAGCTCAAGCTTCCTCTGGAGCCACGCAGAGTCTGACGCAGAGAGGAGGTCACACTAGCTTCCCCCAACACTGCAAACCATGCAGCTTCTTCAGCTTCTGAAGCTCTTTCAAACAAGTTTATTGATGGCTTTTTTTGATGTCTGATTTCAGGTTGTCGACGAGAAAATTGCATATACATGGATAAATGACTCTCAAGCTATTTCGTAAAGCATAAAAATACTGTAGTATGTCTGCAGATATTTAGGAAACACGCTAAGCTCACATAATTGTGTTTCTGAAACACTGAAAAACAACGCTACAGCCAGTTATTCTGCTTCGAAATGTGCGTTCAGTGTCGGAATGTCTGTTTTTGTTTTGGTCTGTGTGACTCCATCCACTGTTAGTTTACCCAATAGGATTTAGACACCCCGGGTTGCCAGTTGGTGTAAAACTCAGCGTATCGCGGCAATGGAAGCCAGCAAACGAACCGAGTCAGAGATCACAGATTCAACCCGACCTAAAAAGCCTCGGCATCCATCTAAAAAACATTATGACCAGAGGAATATTAAAACAAGGATAAATCAACTCATCAACTTACAGGCTTGTCACCTTCCGTTGTGCTCATTCTGTTGGTTTTGATTACGTCTTTAATTGGTTTTCTGTACATTTCTGCCATATGTATACATTAACTGACAGTCACCACTAATAAGCTACTACTAAATATATGGTAGAAACGTAATTTTCTCTAAAACTGCTTTGCAACGATTTGTATTGTGAAAAGCGCTATATATAAAATAAACTTGAATTGAATTGTTGCGTGTCCGCAATCTGGCAACCCGCATGAGTGTCGAGTCTGAAGGGGAGGGACAGGAGAAACAACTCTCTCCACAATATTTAGATTTTGATCTGCAGAACCCATTTCAACCATTAGCTGTCAATATTACATACTGCACCTTTAACTCAATGTTTTATATTTTATGCTTTAAAATTTTTTACCCTCTTGGAGTAATAAATATCTTCGTTAAGGTTTGTCTACAAGCCTCAAAATGGTTTTAAAAGGGTTACATATTCTAAGAGTAGTGTAATTAAAATGTCATTCTTCTGTACCTTTTCATGGCTTTTTCATTGCAACCTGAATAAAAATGTATTAATATGAATGTTTGACATTGTACAGTCAAAATCTCTGTGCTGTCTTGCGCTCTGTAGCACAACATTTCAACAGCGAGCCAAGTTTTAGTCCTTTCTTGATCCCGTTCCCTTCTTTCCATTCCTATCATGGTCTCTGTTTCACAAATATATATAAAAAAACTTTTTAAAAAGCTGTGTTTACTTCTGTACACTCTAGTGCACTAGAAACAGCCTACTCATCATAGCAATGATCAACTAACTACGCTAATCAGTGTCTGATGTACTTGTTGATTTAAAATACATCTGTGACTCTGGAGCACAAAAGCAGTGTTGAGTCGCTGGGGGATATTTGTAGCAATAGCCAACAATACATTGTATGGGTCAAAATTATCAATTTTTCTTTTATGCCAAAAATCATTAGGATATTACGTAAAGATCATGTTCCATGAAGATATTTTGTAAATTTCCTACCATAAATATATCAAAACTTAATTTTTGATTAGTAATATGCATTGCTAAGAACTTCATTTGAACAACTTTAAAGATGATTTTCTCAATATTTAGATTTTTTTTTTGCACCCTCAGATTCCAGATTTTCAAATATTGTCCGATCCTAACAAACCATACATCAATGGAAAGATTATATATTCAGAAAAATTGACCCTTATGACTGGTTTTGTGCTCCAGGGTCACATTTGTCATTATGTATAATTACTGAATAACTATGAGCTATAAAAAAACTAGTATAAATAACTATAAAAACAGCATCACTGTTGTGATGAGCGTAACAAACAATCAGAGGTGGACAGCAGCGCAGTACATTTACTTGAGTACTGTACTTAAGTACACTTTTTGAGCATCTGTACATTACTTGAGTATTATTTTTTATGGAAACTTATGACTTCACTACATTTGAAAGACAATTATTGTACTTTTCACTCCACTACATTTCTATCAAGCTCCTCAAAGTAGAAAGTCGTTACTATGTAGCAGCTTTGAGTCAGTGGGTGATTTTTTCTTCTTTAAAACGTGACATTTTTGTTTATTTAATTTTTTTTATAGACAGCCTATCAGTGATCACTCTTGTTACGTGAAGTGATTTCCCAGCATTTTTTGAACACTGACCAGTTGCAAATGTGATATTTATTTACAATTCAATAAGTTAATATTGTGGTTTGTATTAAGATACAATATTGTTTGATTTTGCAAAATTGTGTAAACCAAAATATTACCTACTGTAGCCACAGAAGAACAGTTCTACTATAGTAAAATTGTAGTAACCATGTTTTTTTGTATAACCACAGTTTTACTACAAATACCATGGTTAAACTATGGTTAGTGTAGCAAAACCATGGTTCATTTGTGGTTATCATGGTTTAACTATATAGTAACCATGTTTATGTTATTATTTTTATTTATTTTTGAGTAAAACCATGGTTAATTGTCGTAAGGGATGTGTTGCCACGTTAACAACAAAAAAAAAGTTATAAATTTACACCTTAAGAGGACACACAGGATGAATATAGGGATGCAGTTTTACTGCTTTAGGATTAGTTTCCATATACAACTTTGAATAAAGAAAAGATGCATCTCTACACTATATACACTGACAACAGACAGGACACCTTTTTTTGCATGCTCAATTTTACTGAAATGCTGCTAACGTGACAGCACTTTCAGAAATACAACATTTTTTAAACATTGTAGGCAAGTGCATATTTTTACGTACATCACTGAAAAAAGTACTTCATGAATGCATGTTGGCTTATTGAAAACTGGCCGTTTATTGAAAGAATATGATGCTAGACTACAATAAGAATTGTCCCAGACCACATTTAGTAAAACAATCAAGTGCATAAATCCCAATTTCAGGATTGAACACATTTGGCAACTAATCATTACTTACTAACGAGTGCACTTGTTTCGTTTGAAGACTGCATCGCATAATTGACCTTAAATAATACAGTAACAGTAACAAACTTCTTCTGGATGATTTTTAAAAAATATATATTAGATCATTTTCAAAATAATATTTAAAAAGCTTAGAATGTATTAGTAATCGGTTTCAGAAAGCTGATTCAGGTCATGCTGAGACATGTTGAAAATGTGTGTATCTATTCAGTGCATTAATGCACAAATCTCAGTTCACACAAACCACTGGGTTTTGAAATAAAGTGAAGATAAAAAACAACATTTAAAAGCAAAGTTGACGAGCTAATGCACATTTAAATATAGCAAAGGCAGCTCAAGTGTTGCAAACAGTTTGCTGAACGATAAAATGAATATGCAATGAATATGAATATAACATCTTAAAGAGACGGTTTAGCGTTAATGTCATCATTCCTGAACGCTGCTTTCTTTGGAATGCACTGTATCTCAGCACTCGAAGAATATAAAAACATAGAGTTCATTTGTTCACTTTTAAAAGAAATCCTCACATTCCTTCATGTCCCCAAAAAATATACTATAAATAAAAGACGTAATAAATATTCACTTAAATCATTATCATAAAACACAATCTTTTTTAAATTGCTGTTTTCACAAAAACAAAATTGATTTTAGAATGTTTTTTTTTTTGTAGTTGATTTTCCTTACCTGGATTGTCATTCTTAAAGTGACAGTGTACCCAAAAATTTAAATTCTGTCATTTATTCACCCTCAAGTTGTTCCAAACCTGCACGAGTTTCTTTCTTCTGCTGAACACAACAGAAGACATCTTAAATAATGTTGGCAGCCAAACAGTTTCTGGTCCCTATTGACTATTTTTTCTCAACATTCTGCAAACTATCTTCTTTTTTTGTGCTCAACAGAAGAAAGAAACTCATACTGTGTGACTAAATGACAGAGTTGTCATTTTTGGGTGAACTATCCCTTTAAATTGGCCAGCGAGAATACTCGTAATGTAAACGGAGAGCCTTTAGTGATACAACCAAAGCTGCGTAAGCTGATCCACGCAGCATCACAGCGACGAACCTCTCATGAGGCGACTGAACTTTGTGTTTCGACACGGATGCCCCTCGTCTGCAGGCACTGAGGTAAAGTGAGAGGCGCTCAGACGATCTCCTCCTCGCAGTGAGCGTCTCCCACCAGCAGAGAGTGTTTGTCGGGCTCGCTGAGGGCCATGCTGTTCATCGAGTGCTTGTCGGAGCGCAGCGAGTTGATGGAGGCCCGGCTGTAGTTGACGAAGCGGTCGAGCAGGCTGAGTTTGGGCGAGGGCCGGCGCAGCTCTCCCATGCCGATGTGAACGCTGACTTCAGACAGGCTGCCGTGTCTTCTCACCTCGCCCAGTCGTCTCTCCAGTTTCTCAGCGCTGGGTTTAGTGTAGCTGCAGAAACAGGAAATGAGGGTTAAATTATCCGAGCATCTTTCAATAACAAATCCCGTTACTAAAGCATGCAAAAATGTTTATTAAACCGAAGATCTGAGAGGTTTACCATTTGAGTAGAAGGGAGGACAGCACTACAGACACGGAGGAGGCAGCCATCGCAGCAGAGCCCATCCAGGGCTGCAGCACCAAACCCACCGGCATAAACACACCTGCACACAGCAGCATCCAATAATCACACTCCAGCAATGATACAAACCTACAGAATGGTTGTCTTAATACTTGTTATAGCATTGGAGGCACAAATCCCATGTTTTTTGTTGTGAGATGCACTACTATCCAACATAATATTTACCTACAATGAAAAGTAGCTACTTGTACAATATTGTTTACATAGACGTGTCCTAATTTTTCTATTGGGAAAAGGTTAAAAAAAAAGGAAAAAAAAGAAAAAAGAATTCCGCAAGGATGCATTAACTTTATCAAAATTGACAGTGAAGACTTTTAGAATCAAATTAATGCTGTTCCTTTGAACTTTCTATTCATTAAAGAGTTCAGAAAAGCTTTCAACATTGATGATAGGGCTGCACGATTAATCGAACGCCATTAATCGCGATTGTCATGCATATTTTGTCAGTAAAGCCGATTCTGTGATTAGTAGTAAATCTCCATCACCTGCTTTCAGGTGGAGCAGCATTTACTACACAGAGCCGTAGTTCTCTGACAAGCTATGCAAAATTGCGTTCATAATCAAATGATACAATCGTAGGATTATGAAATCGACGAAATTGTTCGCGATAATGACTGTTTGCGTATCTTCTCGGTGAACTACGGCTCCGTGTAGTAACTGCTGCTCCGAGAGCACGTGAAAATACCACGTTTAATAAAGTTTTTACAC